TGGCCCCTCTAAATTTAACGGAGAAATTGATGTCACGTCACGTCAACACAAATTCAGCATCCTCGCTAAATTTAGAGGGAAAGTTTTTGCAAAATTTCACGTTAGATATAGTGAAAAACTGTTGGAAAATTTCCCGCTAAATTTAGCGGAAATACTTCTCCGCTAAATTCAGCGGGGAGAGTTGCGCTAAATTTAGCGGGAAATTTAGCGAATATTTTCCGATAAATGGTAGGGGAGCAGGAGAAGAGGAGGGGGAGCGTATAGAGGGGAAAAGGGGCATATCCGCCCCTCCGTTCTCCCCCTCCTCCTCCTCAAGAGCTGCGCTCTAATTCGGCATTACAGAGAATCGTAACGTCTTTTATTTTATTTTTTTATTTCCCAATTCAACATGCATTTTGAGAGGAAAAACAACAGCCCCCATGCTTAGTTTTTAACTCTTCAAAATAATGGAGCCATACGTTTCAGAAAGTGCTTTCAGAACGAAGTTAACATTGACTGTATGCGCATTCTGAGTGATTTTGTTGTGCCGCTGCCTCCTGAGTTTATCAATGAGCGATCAGAAAAAACAAGCTACCGGTGTTCCTGTTTTCTAAGCTTATTTAATGACACCTTCATCAAGTGCTGATGCGAGAACATGAGGAAGGCTTTGCGTAAATTTGCTATTTTCTAGCCTGTATTAAATAAGATCAGCCTTATCAGGTAGTATCTGTAATCATTTTGTGCTAGCTTCTGTTAATATTGAGGAATTTGGAACGAGAGAAAAAATTTATTGGGTTTGCTTTAACATAACGCACCTACAAAATAATCCACTCCTTTCTAATTTCGCGTTTCTTGAGATTCTTCGCCCTTTAGTCGTGAAGTGTTCCTCAAATGTCCAAAGACATCTTCCTGTGATTTAGGTATTTCACTATATTTTTCTTCTGTACCCTCGACCTAAGGACACATAGGATACGAAGCGATTTGTCTAAAATTTAAAGGTGTGCGAATGCCGGTTTGAGTCGAAAGGCGCAGTCTCATTCCAATCCTTAACGCTGCTAAAAGTATCGGTTGTCGTGTCTTTTCCTTCCAATGTGAAGGCTGTGAATGACGCAGTGCTCTTCAATTTGAAACGGTGCTCGCACTCCCCTAGTGAACAACTTTATTGTTAAATCTAGAGGTGTGCGAATAGCGGTTAGAACCGAAAAGCGCAGTCATTCCCGGATTTATCACTGTTACCGGTTCTAGTGTTTTCTCCAACTATTTTGAAGGTTATGAATGACGCAGTGCTATTTGATTCGAACCGGTATTCACACAGCCCTGCTGAATAGCTTTATATTTAAGCCCAGAGTTCGTGGAGTTGAAATTCCGTCATCCATTGCAGGTGATTGACCAGGCGACACGTTCTCTCTACTCAGATGTGGCTATTGCCATCTCTCCGAAGCTCCAGCCGAAGAGAAGAAGAAATCGCTGACCCTCGCGTGGGTTCTTTCTTAGCCTTCTCAGGCGCGAACAGCTCCCCGGACGGTCACGCTCCTTGCGTAACTTAGGCAATTTATTTGGTTTAAGGCGCGGCGCGTCAGGCCAAGCGCTTCCCCTTCGCGAGTCCTGAATGGCGTTTTCATAGCTGGGGTCCCTGAAGAGGTAGGGACGACATTGGCGACGGATCCTCACGGCTTCGGGAACTCGGTTCCAGCCTGGCTTGGTGGAGCACACTGAGATGTGTGCTAGCGAATGAACTTCTCATACGCCGCAGAAATGGAACTTTAGAGAATGTTTCCCAAGGATCAAACACAGCAAGGCGGGGGGGGGGGGGATATTATATTGTAGCGGTGCTGCTGAGGCGCGTGCTGGAACCCACGTAGGACGACGACGAAGCGCGTGCAGACGGCGCGTGACACACTTCGAATTGAGTCTGATTTGGTTATGGACGTCCTTTTGTAAATTAAAAACGTAACATTTGGTGTCAGAAGTGGGATTTCTGGCATGGCGCCTCAAGTTACCCGGAATGCCTCCTCTCGGGAAGAACATCCTCTGCAGTGTGGTCAGCGCCGGCGTCTCATGGAGCCAATGGCTGGCGGCTGGATTGCCTGACGCCGCTAATCTTCATGCCGGAACCGCAACGAACCATGTTCCGTACGACCATTCTGTGGCCGTGCAATGAAGATCCTGCGTTGGCCTATGGCCACATTTGCATCCGAAAGCTTCAAGGCAATGAGGTGCGTAAGTGCGCGCTGGACTTGAATGTTTTTCCCACTGTCGTTCTGGACATTCGGCGGATGAGGTCATGAGCATAACATTCTATCTTCTGGACTTTGGCCTTACCGGCACATTTCATTTTCGGTGTTGGTTTTCAAAATGCGCAAATATGCAGTGATGCTTTGCACCGATGTGATATGTGCCGGCATCAGAGTTCTGATTAGACATGTCACCAGGGGTGACGAAAACAGGAGCCAGCGGCGGCCAAGTGACAAGTGTCCGGGCATCAACTTCGAAAAGCGCCAATGTGCTGGATTTCGGTGTTGCGGAGGAACTGTCGTGATGAGCATCGGCAACGACACCTGCAAATAGAACTGTCTACCTTGAATGGAACGTGGCGAGGTTGTTAAGCAGAATGAACCAACCTACGAAGAAACATCATTAAAAAACTCAGAGTGGAAATAGTGTAGCGGTGCTGCTGAGGCGCGTGCTGGAACCCACCGAGGACGACGACGAAGCGCGTGCAGACGGCGCGTGACACACTTCGAATTGAGTCTGATTTGGTTATGGACGTCCTTTTGTAAATTAAAAATGTAACAATATTTAGGGTGTGGCTGCTCTCGCCTGCGCAGCCTTGTGACGCAAGCCACCGGGCGATCGTTTGCAAACACTGTTCAGGTGGCGATGGTGAGATGGGGCCTGGGTCGGGAACGGGTGGGGAGCGGGGACGGGAACCGCGGCAACTACCGCTGTGCGTGCAGGCGGTTGAGAAAAAAACAAAATCGGCGGCCCCCGGAACGGCCGTCGCCTCGATCCCTCTTGGAAGAGTAGATTAGACACAGGAGAAGATTACGGGCCTGGAGAACGGTAATAAGCTGGAAGACACTCGCGAACTCGGCCATGGTTACAAGTACAAGGTTCACACTCCTGCGGAAAAAATATCCTCACACCATCCTCCATACCCACGTCCTCCTTCCCTCCTGCCCGAAAAGAGGACAGCCAGCCAAAAAGATAGCGTGCAGTGGTTCATCAGCGTCGACGCAGGTTGTGCCGCTTAGGTATAGTTCCGTGGTACAAGGGCTGGCTGGGTGCTGGACCGTCCGGGACGTGCGAAGGAATTCCTCCGAAATTTAAAACAACTCGCCCATGCCTCAACTTTAGAAGGAATTACCGTCTCTAAGTAGCGTTTAAGCTCCGACACATGGAGCGGTCCGTAATGGTGTGTTTCATGCAGTCGTGTTATGCCGTAGCTCAATGGGTACCTTCCTCCGTATTGCGGAAAGGTCCATTCCAGCGGTCATTGTGGAATGCAGTGAAGCCTCTCGACGCACTGGTGAGCGGATGTGTTTGTCGAAGTACCACGTCCCGGACTTTAAGCTGAGAGGCGCGGCGGCCCTTGTCGTACTGGGCGGCCTGCTGGATACCTGAGGTGTCGAGATTTGCTCGGGCCTCTATAACGGATGCATACAGTCAGTTGTGGACGTCCTGGGCGAATTAAGCGTAACAGCGTCCATCTTGCGCAGCATCTGCGTAAGAAAAAGAGCTTTACAACGGAAATGTGAACTGTTTACCAAAGCTGAGGCGCACAGGGTTTAAAACCTGTCGATCGGTTGACCGTCGTGCGTGTTGCAAACGCCAACTCGTCGATTTCGGCATCCCAGTCCTTGTTTAGGCCTGTGTGAGCAATCACCATCACCTTTAGGCTGCGGTTGACTTTCTCCGCGATGTTGGCTTGCGGGTGATGCGGCGAGGCCAGCTTGTGCCGCATTCCAAGCGCAGCACAAATATCGACGAAGATCTTGCTCCGGAAATTCGAAGCTCCCTCGGTGATGAGCTCTGCGGGAAAGCCCTATATAATGAAAACAGCGAGAGGACAATTACAGATTCTCTGCGTAAGAAGCTTCCGTAGAGGGAATAATTTAACGCATTTTATGAAATGGTAGATCACAAGAAGTAGATACAGGTTTCCGCGCGGACTACGAAGGAACGGTTCTATAACGTCGCAGGAAACGATCTGCCGAGGAGTTTGGCCATCGGAGACCAGCGGCAGCCCTACTGAAATGCATTATTTTTAAATCTAGAGGTTTTCCAATATTGGTTCGAATCAAATAGCGCGATGCCATTCCTAGCTTCGACACTGTTCAGACAACCGGCTGTAGTGATTTTTTTGCCAACTGTGAAGGTTATTCATTACTCAGTGCAATTCAATTCAAAACGCTGTCCGCGCACCCCTACCGAATTGATTTATTTTTATTTTTAACACATATGTGAAGCTCTTCCGCGTTCTTGCAACAAATTCAGTCCTGAAAACCGTACAATTTTAAACCATTAAATAAAATGACACAGCCAACAACCGGACAAGACTTGTTGCCCACCTTGTACATGCCGCTCCTACACACGAAAGCGATCCTCTCCTCCTCTGTAACGTTTAACAATTAGCTGATCAAAGAAAGCGCGCGTTTCCTTCTATAAGGCGAAGCGACCATTTGGAATCAATGGCGGCGTGATGAAGAACAACACATACATATAAACGTCAGCGCAGAAAAGGCAGAGACAGTCGGAACCGCCCTGGATTAGCGAAGTAGAGGAGCTAATTCGTGGAAGTGAGGCGCACTCCTTCACCGGGCAACGCCGCAGTGTTCGTGCGGGGACTGCCGGGGAGAGCGGCAGATGCCGCCTTTGGCCGCATCGCCGACAGCGTCCCGTCCGCGCCTCTCTCTCCGCACGCGCCTGCGCTCAGTCGAGGCCCCGGGTCGGGGCTGGGATTCGAGCTCCGAACGTTCGACCGCCGCACTCGGCCCGAGACGCTCCACGGCGCACCCGAACAATGCATCGCCTCTTGGCCGGATGTCTGCTCGCGTGCTGCCTCGAGATGGGACTGGGAAACCACAGGTGATGATTTTCGTCGTTGGCATTATAAGCATCCCGTTCTCTAAACTAATACAATCTCTGCTCGTTTTTTTTTGTTAGGTGAGTTTTTTTTTATATCGTGAATATACAGGTGAGCTTGTTGAGTTTATACATAGTTAAAACCGGAAACAAAGGAAATAAAGCACAGGACAATGACGTATGAAAGACAGTGAAGTACTTTTTTTAGACATCAACATTTATATACTCTTCTCCTGCATCCTTTTTTATGTTTCAAATCGCATGAAATGGCTCCCATGATCCAAATTGTTGTAGCTATATATTTGGTGTCTCGATTTTAAATTAATCTTTTTATAAACAAGTCACAACAGTTAAAAATAATTGAATACTCTTTGTACATTGGACCTTTTTTTTAAATATTATAGGCACATTGGTACAACAAAATATTGTGTATTCAACGAAAGGCTCACTGATAAAAAAAAAAGACGTTCTTTGATTAGGAGTCGAATTGAGAACTCCAGTATTCTTTTTTCTAGGTGTCTTTTGGCGCAATCGCACGATGTGGGCGGCTTGCGGTCGTGTATCACTACAGTGTGAAGCACGTTAGAGGCCCAAGGCTTGCAGGTGTATTCCGGTGGCTAAATGGAATACCCGCTGCAGCTCAGTAGCAAACTGACATTGTGATGTCTAAACCAGAACGTTAAATTTTGTTTCTATTTTGGTGTGCAATATCGAAGTGTTTTATTGGGTTTGTATAAATTCCAGCTATCTACTTTTAAGAATAAACATATGGACGTTGCAAACTCATGCTCTTTGAGCGTACCTTTAGAGCCTTCGCTAAGACTTCATATGACACATGTTTCTCCAATCACGAAGACGCCAAAAATAGTGGTTTGTCACATGACCATTCGTCTCTTTCTCTCCGCTCATATGTTGACACCAAAAGGAAAGCGCAATCAAGCATGTGGTTTGCGTGAGGCATTAAAAATGAGTAACAAATGTATATTTGAGGGAAAACATCTTGCATTTTTGTTTTAAAATAAATTAACCACCTGAAAACCCTCACGTGTTTTCTTCACTGGCTATATACACATTTTAAACCGCAACCTCTCTTTGTTCAAGCGTTAAAATAACGTTGTTGTACATCCATATTGTCATTTACGGGATATTACTGTCCCAATGCAATTCAATTCCACCGTGGTTGCTAATTGGATCTTTTGGAGATCCCGTAACGAGTGAGTATTTACAGTTTACTTCCAGATGTGTGAGGCTGAAAATATGTCTTTGTACTTGACGTCAACTAATTCTTGTTAGATTGCCAGGGCCAGTGCTGCTGTCCCGCTCTTCTGTGAAAGTAATTGGCTTTATCTTGCTTCTTATTCGCACGCACAACTCACGCAACTAGGTTTGACAGAGCTGGAGCACTGCGGAGACTACGCTATACTTTAACAACTTAGCACAAAATAGCTAACGCATATTACACAAGGGTTGCACGTGACGTCTTCAAAGAGCACCCCGATGACCTTCAGAAAAGTGGGAACTCCCCTCTTATCAGGATCCTTTCTTGTGCCTCCCGGATTTGCACCAGGGGTTGCTATTCTCCTCCCAGAAGATTGTAGAAGATTAACCCGTCGCACAAAATTCGTGCAAAGCAGCTTCCTTTTCCTCCTCCTACATGGTGGTCAAAAGTTTGCGATTGGACGTTAGGGCAACCGATGCATGGGTTTAATATTTTTTCATCAAATGTTTTGCCATCGAGAAAGCATGCATGCTTTATAAACCGGAGTTCCATAAAAATTACAGCTTATAGCCTATACGCTATTCAAATTTATCTTCGCCGTGTGGTCTAATAGGCCGTACAATACAATCACCGAGTTAAAATAATTGATTGTTTATTCTTTATTTGAAGGTGAATGTAATGATATTTTTCGCGCTAGAATCAGAGATAAAGTCTATTTTAAACCCAGTAGTATGAGCGTTATTTCGACATTCAACTTAACGGATGATGCGTTTAAGAATAAATATCGCCTTCCAGAGAGAACAGATAGAATTAGGAAGCTAGTCAGCATCACGGACAACTTCTTAACCAAGAAAACAATTATTTGTCTCCTGTTAGCATTGTTCGTTAAACATGCTTAATCGTTTCTTAAATTCAAATTAACACCTATTGTTGAATAGTACGGGATTTTAGGACGGTTAGGAGGATCTGTCACTAGTTGTTTTCTCGTGAATATTATGTTACGTGCATTGTGCATTATTATTTTTTATGCTCTACAGTTGTATGCGCAGTTTTGTTATCGAAATGGTGTTAGACTCCCACCAGTAACAAAAACTACGCAAATGTTTAGCAATGGCGCGTATTGTAAAGCTTCTGAAAACAATAGGTAATCTTGTTCGGTTATTCTAATCTTGAAACCATACGTAAAGGACGAGAGCATAGAGGTTGCTTTACATTTGAATATAGTATAGTTGTTAGGTAGGTGTACTTTTAAAAATATTTGCCTAAAAAGTTCAAAAAGGAATGCGAACATCCGCGAACAATTTTGCTTAGTCAACTGGATTAACTGAGCGCATCAGAAAAACATTGTCAATCTACTGTAATATCTGCTCGCGTAGCTGCCGAATCGAGCAAGAACGTTCACACACCATACTTTTTTATATCTTAAAGTCTAACAGCTTGGTCAAAATGGCAAAGGGTTTCTGGCTGGGTTTAGCTCTTAGCATTGAATATATGTGCCCAGAAATGAACCGGTTGAATACAGCTAAGACACAAAACATTTGCAATAGGTTTTCTTGGTAATACTAGAGCAATTTTTTACACCAAATGAAGCTTTCTTTTTATAAAGATGTTTTTATGATACGCAAAAAGGTACTATTACTGGAAGTATAAATTCGTGATTTTTTCATCTTGTAGTCATAATGAAGTTATTTTAGCTAACGAACAATTCTGTTAAGAAACTACTCGTGACTCTAAAGGCGCGTTCACGCTCTTGCAACCGAGTACGACCGAGAAAGACTTCTTGGGACCGGATGCACTGAGCGGAGCTGGTCCTAAGAGATCGCAAGAGGCTTAAAAACCGGTTTGGTCTCTCTCGGTCGCACTCGGTTGCAAGAGTGTGAACGGGCCTTTATAAACTGTGAAGCTCAACGTCAAAACTACAAGACAAGTGGCCTTTATGCAGATTAATATTACTTTTAACATCCTAATGTAATTTCGAATGACGTTTGAGAGAAAATACAAGCATTATAAAATCCTTAAAGTGAGCACTTAAAAATAAACATGATACTATGAAAGGGTTAGACGCAGCTTTTATAACGTGACGGTCTTTGAATTCGAGAACCCTGGCATTTGTTTCTACCTAGGTAACCAAAATGTACAATATATTTATTGGAGGGACCTTAGTCATCACTACACCGTTCTACACCACGACATAATGAGCAACCTTCTAGTTGTGCATTAATACAGCTGGAAGTACTTAATGGAAGACAATACAAATTTGATCGCATATATGAATATGAGAAAACATATTTACTTTAACGCCAGTGGTTAAGCGCAACTGATCACTACTAAACAACAGATTATTAAGGTTTGTGTACCAATTGTACAAAGCCAGATATTTATATTTTAGTGCAAGTTAAATAAGAGCTCTGAAAAATTATGTTAAAATTCTAGAAATATTATATATCTGAAAAAAGGCTTTTTATATTTGCTTGTTTGTAAAGAGGGTGAAGAAAAAACAAGCATACTTAGATAGTTCAATTTGTTATACAATTACGAAAATTATAAGTATTCAGAGTCGTATAAAATTAAGGTGGTACAAAATGACTGAAAGCCTGAGTTTGTGGTTTGAAAAACAGAAAACGGTGAAGTAGAAAGAAGAAGGGACATACAACGTTGAGAGGTTGTCTGCCCCTTTTTCTTTCTACTGCGCGATTTTTCCGTTTTTCAAACCACAGTCTCAGGTTTTCAATCATCATGTATAAATTACACTAGCTCGCCTGCACTTTAACCGTTTTTTCATGGTAGTACAAACTTGGACTATAATGTGTGGGTCGCTACCTGATCGACGCCCGATCGGGACGTGCCTCGCTCGCTCCCCAAGAAGTCACCCACACAGTGCGTGTTCAAAAGAGTTTACTCAAACTCACGTCGTCTGCGAGCCGCTCGTCGCTGTCGTCCCAATGACCTCCCTGACCGGTCCCTTTCGAAGTCGGCAGCCCAAGACTTCTTCCTTTGTCTCCGTTCCCCTTTTAAGACCTTCCCAAGTCCTTGTCCCGCCGACCGCCCAATCGGGAACCTTGCTGCGACCGACCCTCCGACGTCAGCGCTGGGTGAGGGGGCGCTTGCCCCATCCCTCCCGGAGAGCTCGGACGTTCCGCGACTGGACGGCGACGTGAAACGGGAAGGTCACGGGGAACGAAGGAGCGCCCGGCAGCACGGCGACAGGGACCGGCGAGGTCACGAAGCGCGGAGGAGCCAGGGAGAGGGTCCCCACAAATGTAAACTAAAACTTTTGATAAAATAAACACCCCTCTGATAGAGGAAAATAACCCTGAGGGTATGTAGGCACGCATGAGAGTAAGAAGTAAGTTCATAAATTTGAACGGTGAAAATAGGGGTGGACTATTTGGAACCGTAATCGCAAAAGAAACTCAGAAACTCTATTCAGTTAAAAAGATAACGAAGCTCGTATCCAAATTATAGAATGAATTTTTTCTTGTACAATACCAGAACTTTCAGCTACAGCTTGCCAACTGATGCGTTATAAAAAAAGGAACTCCTGCACCCCCAATTACAGCGCCCTATTGCTGTGTTTAGTATTAAGAAATATGGCGCCAAATTTGAGTTTTATTGATGTGCCAATCCTGACGTAGTGATTCAAAATGTATCCTAAAAATATACGAATGCAAAAAGTGGGCACCAAAACTGAAATGAAGGAAATAGTACCAAAAAACACCGATTGTGGATTGGTGCACTATATGCTGCTCAAACCTCCGTAGGACTACGTCTGGGTTCCACAAGAAATGAGAAGGGGGGGATTAATGTTTCGTGGAGTCGCGCCTGTGAAAAGCGTGAACTGCCAGCACTGCAAAGGACGCGGTCTTGGCCACTGGGCGGCTATCTAGATCGATGAGCCAAGATTGTAAAATCACGGCTGGAGGAGCGGCGTCTATCGCTGTTTCAATCAGACAGGAGCGCGACGCGTTGCAGCGAGCAGGCGAATGAGCCAGAATATAAGAATTTGATGCAGAAACCACTATGCTTGCTTGCTTATGAGTTGCGATAACATTCGTCCCGAACAACCTTGAGAATGACGTCCCAGACGACGTTGAAAACGACGTCCTAAAGGACAACAGAAAAAAACAACGTCTATTACGACCTTAAGGGCGATTTCATAGATGACCTGGACGACGCCCAGGAGGAAGTCTAGAACGACCTCTAGAGTGACCTCTTGGACGATATTAAGGACGATGTTTAGGGCGAGCTCTAGAACAACGTCAAGGATGACGTTTTAGAGGACGACGTCAAACACGACGTCTAGGATGACATTAGTACGACCCCTAGGACGACTACAAGGAGACCGTTCTAAAATACATCCTCTGGGACGACCTCCAGCACGATGTCGAACACGATGTCAAGGTCGTTAGGTCCTTCGAAGAGGTAGCGAATGTGAAGCAGTTTGAAAATGTGAGCTGGATTGGTCTATTGTGCATACCTACTGAGCATTAAAAGGCCAGAGAAGCACCGTCCAGAAGGCCGTTGTGCTAATATTTTTGCGTCGCCGGCGAAGGCCAACGTTGGAAACATATTGGAAGCGCGTGCTGCGTCAGCTGTCTGCTTCGAAGCAAGTTTGAACCGAACGTTCACGCAATCGTCATGTCAAATCTGTGGCCAGCGTTGGCCGGTACAAATGGCGACATATCAATCAGCAGTACGGCTTTCTTATATAGAAGGTGTTGGCCAGCCCGAGAAATCCGGGGCGAGGCGGGTGGTAGCTAAAGAATGCTATCACATTCAAAGGACGCGCGTGCGCACTGAGTAGCTCTAGGCAGCAGGCACCCTTCAGGGACTGCGGCGCTGCAAATCAATCGGCGCTCCGGTGCTATCCGTGTGACGTCACTTATACGACAAAATTTTTATGACATCGATTCCCAACTATGCACCTCATTCCAAGCGCGAAAAAAGACGTAGTTCTACGTCAGAGAACCTCAAGGCCGCGTAAAACTGTTCACAAAAAAAACGTTGAAGCGAGGAAGCTTTCAAAGGACACTGACACCACCTCCCAAAAATATTTTTATTTCTTGGCGATTTCTTATTGTGTCAGAAGACTGCCTAATCAATATTTTGCTACAGCGCCACGTACATTAAGCCAAAAAATCTCAAGCGCTTGAAACCAACCGAAGACGCGACATGTCGACTAGAGCGGATGAAGGAAAACGGAGGAGGAGAGAGTCGCCGGAAGTCACGTAAATACACACGACCGCGTTTTTTTTTTTTCTTCCTCCCTGTTTCTTCGGTTTTGCGAAGAAGACGACAGCTTTAATATTACAATGGTCAAGCCCTCGAGGGGGGACTCCTCATTCGTAGTAATGCACCTAGTCCACCGTGGATCAGGATGTTATCTGTTAATCACCTGCTGCAAAGGAACTCCGCAGACTCCAAGTCTGGCAGCACCACGTCAGGCCGAATTCGCACCTAGTAAAGAAATCGTACGCAGGCCTATTCAACACCAGGAACGCACATGGGGCTTGACATATGCGTGTACTTTAAACTCTTAAAAATTCGGGTTCGTAAAACGAACGATGTTTCTCGACATCTTGTAAACCCTGAGATGGGGAACGATAAAAAACGGACGAACACAACAAAATCTCAAACGCAGCTGCGTTTGAGATTTTGTTGTGTTCGTCTGTTTTTTTATCGTTCCCCATCTCAGGGATTACAAGATGTCGATTAATTACCAGCTCGCCTGCACTCTCTCACTGCTTACGATGTTTCTAGCCAGGAGGAGGGCAATGACTTGGCGACGAGTTCGTGCGAATGAGCTTGGTGGTCGGGAACGTCGTGCTGAATAAATCCTAATGATTTTGTTCTGTAAAACATTTCTCTTTCGAAGGTAGAAAGATTCGCCGGTACGCCAAAGGACAGTTCTGAAGGAGAGGTACCACGCCCGCCGTTCGCCGCCGTCGCTTAGTCCGCTATGTGCTTCCGTCCATCCCCCGACTCCCGCGATCCCGCGAATTCGGGATACGACGCCGTGTTGAGAATCATGCTCTGCATGTGCTTCTGGTATTCTGCAACTTTCTTCTTTTTTCAGGCAATGTATTTGCAGCGTCTTAGACGCCGAAGAAAAAATAGGTTACACTTTTTTTTATATTTTTATTTTGAAATCTGTGCCTTCAATGGATCACGACTTCGTGTATTTTTGTCTGATTGGCACGCGACCACGGAGTAGAAAGTGAGCGCGACTCAAACCGCCCAACACTCGATCGGCGGTTTTCGGAAAAAGAAAAAAAAAACACGAAATTTTAGCTGTAAATTGTGTATTGGGTAGCTAGGTGTTCATACGCCATGTCAAATAAATAAAAAATAATACTTTCATATGTCATCTAAATAAAAAAAAAAATAATACTTCTTCGGTGTCGTCTTAAAGTTTATTTTTACTGCGGTTTACGTTTTTCCAAGGAGAGCAGCAAAACATTCCTCGCCCGAGCAGAGGCCCGAAACCGGGACCGTTAAATTGAAAGCAAACGCTCTACCAAAAGAACTATCCCGGCTGTCATCAGCGAAGGGACAGAAAGCTTTCGCAGGAGATGCTTGCTTGTTTTAAAAAATAGTTTCTAGCTTTTTTTTTACTTTTTATTGATTATTATCGCCTTTCGTTACCTTTTTTCAATCACAATACAACATTCAAAAAGTTGAATGCGTAACAGATAACAATCGGTTTATAGAGTGTCGTTGAATTCGTATAAATCATTGTTCTTTCTGCTTGAAATAATCGCTTCGCTCTCAATTGTGATATGAATTTGTCGGTGTTTCTCGAGAGTTGAGACGATTGGTTAATGTACTTAACTGAACCGCCTCATTAAGTTGCGACTTAAATTACAATTATGTGATACACCCGCTCTGTTCTTAAAGGAGTTTATTAATCTTGTTTGTTTGAAATTTTACCTAGTAAAACTTAAGTGGCACTCGGATCGACTGAAAATTATCTCTGTCCTAATTAATCAATGAGGTAAACTCAGAAAGATTCTATTTTTTTCCTGAAGTGAAAGTGGGCGTATAAAATATTTTAAGAATACATCTTCAAAACACAAGTTCGTCCAACAAGACTTCCTATGAATTATGATGACGCTTTAGGCATTTTGTTTCAGAAGACTAAATGGTGCTTTGGACGACCTGGAACAGTTAGACGACCTCTTGAGGACATATGACCGAAGGGCACTACCAACCACTCACCTCGGTAAGTTTTTTTTTTTTCTATTCATAACAAGGGATGTGATTAAGGACTAACAACTTTTATCAGTAAAAATATAAAACAAGTATTTTTACGTAATGTGGTATTGATTTGTGGCTCAAACGCAAAAAGGGTATTATAAAAAAGTTTTAGCTAACATTTGTAGTACAAGCGACATTTATGTTGGTTCTCGTGTGCAGAAGTCTTACGGCACTGCCCTTTCGCTTGATTCATCGCTTTGAGAGATCTAAAGAAATGCACTTGTACATGAAAATTGCATAACCCACTATACCGATTTCGAGCTGCCAAATCAGAAAACAGAGAGAGATTATATACGTGCAACTTATCAAAAATGCGTTAAACTGGTATTGAATCTGAAAGTAAAGTGGATCCCCTTGATTAAAGTATTTTGTAGTTAAGTATAAATTTAAAAGATATTCTGTGTTTTTGTTTCGGTTGAATTATTTCCTTAAAGCTAGGAGTACACAAGTATTTGTATCGCGTAAACGTTTAAAATTTTTATGGTAATAATTGAATACTTGTTGAATCGTGTTATTTATGAAGTCCGTGATTCTAAAACCGTACACCCGATGAATAACAAAAAAATGAGTTATTTTTTAATCAGTGTTTATTCAGCCATGAACCCACACTTTAATCAATTATTATCTTAGAAAAAGAATGATATAAGCATGAGTGTTTTAAGCATAGTCACACAAAATGTGATTTAGTAAAACTCATTCTTCCTCATGAAACTCTGTGTAACTGCTATATTATTTTTCCGTTTTCACTTGCGTATATTTTACGTACATCTTCCGACGGTGTTTGAAATATTTTGATTATATGTATGAAGTTCCTGAATTATTATGTATGTTGTGGAATATTTGCTTTTGCTGACCTTTCCAAACAACCATGTATCCATCCATAATTTAATCAATTACTATATATAAATATTGTTGAATAGTTCTATCTAAAACATGTAGTTCTGAGTTTGAAATATTAAGAAAGCATTGCTTTCCACGTAACTTTTTTTTAAAATATGATTTTAATGTGAGCATAATTCAATCCGACTGATATCTGTAATTTTTTTTTGCTCGCGTTATATTTTGCTGTTTGTTTAAGAGGTCATTTACACATTAATCTTTATTGTTACTCATAGGTGATATGCCAATTTTGGTCGCTTCTGTGAAGCTTACCTTGGTTTTATTATTCTAGTTTTCATTTGTGGCACTAACTTCTGTTTTGTTTTGAAGTTTATTGCATGAAATACAATTTTAAGTACAGAAAGTATTGATAATTTCTTTCAGAGCATTCCTATGTATCCAAGTTTACATGTTATGATTTCTAATTTGACTTTAAATTTTGCGATTCTGTGACTCGCTGTATGGTACAGCCAAAACTACCTGCAGAGCAAGGCACGTGCGCCAGATGTTTGAAGTCGTGAGTCTTTCTGGATGGAAAGAGTGGAACGCCGAGCACGAATGGGACACAAGTGCAGTATTATTTTTCTTCTCAGGACTCGTTTTAATGTTAGTAAAGTAGTGATTAAACTCTACTTTTAAACGAACGCTGGCGCAGCATTCGTGTCGAATTCTATCATTGCCCCGCGATTGGTCGAGGTAGATGGCGTAAAAAATCCTATTTCTAGGCCTTGCTTCTAAACTTTGTTTCACACCAAGTCTGATTTTATGGAGACAGTATAGCTGCGTCAAAAGTGCATGGTCACGCACTAGCCGTCTTATTGCGTTCATTATCATTGGCCAAATTTATCGCGCAGAGTAAAAAGTGCAAGGTCCCGGTGCAGTCCCGGTGCAGTCCCTGCGCGCGATTGGGTTAGCCGGCGAGAGCAAGTGCGCAAACAGGCAAGCGCCGCGAAAGGATGCTTCTTTAACCGCATGAAAACGCGGCGTCGGACGTGCTCGGACCTTGTGTAAAACAAAGTATTGGCGGTTTCGGCACGGCACTACTGTTTATGACTTGTGCTCGTCCGTTCCTCAGTCTTATTGATAACAGAAAATATAGCTTTATTAGAGATAACCACATTATGGTCAGCAAGGAGTGTTCCTGAAAACAATAGCTACCTCTTGTCCTGTGTACCAGTAGCCAAATTATGTGCAGTGCAAACGGACATGACAGCGCGATTTCCAGAATAAAATGACACCGTGTAGCCACAGAAGGTACTGGAAGGTATTGGTTTTCCCGAAGAATATACTTGGTAATGCGTCTTGGTTGTTATTAGTTGCAAAATCAGGTTAACTGTGTTATGTTACTTTAAAGCATGGACGTAGATGTATCTATCTAGTTCAATAGTCAAAATCTGAAAAACCAGGCACAATTAACTTCATCTACCATCCCTATAAAAATATTAATGAACAACAAGTAGACAAGGTTGCAAATGAGACAACAACTTTCTGGAAAACTGAGATGTGTGTGTCGAGAATATTGTCGAAGGTGCTATTGCCATTGATATGAGGGTGCTAGCCGGTATTCCGAACCGGCAGTGAACTTCGGTTTGAGACGTATTGCCATCTTATGCAAAGCCTTCCCAACCCTCGGACGGTCCACGGTCGCAATTGTTCTCGAGCACGAACGCCCCTGTAGCTTGATGGACTGTCACGCAACGGCCGATTTAAACTCTGTGGTGGGCCACCCGGCGCAATTTTGTTTTACAGCGGCAGCTGTTGGTCTACCTCGTCGGTTAAATCCGCTGATGTCCACAATCGAGACAGCCACGTTATTGCGCGGCGCACACCTTACGCTATTGCTCTCTCGGCATTGCGTCGTCAATCTCACGTTCACGCCCTCTCTGTCAATACGCGAAAGCTATCCCTTTTATCGCTAATCTCTCCATCCCCCCCCCCCCCCCTTTCCCACTTTCCTTTCGCTGCCGCACACAAAGCAGCCGCTCCGCAACCGAAACCACCCCCGACATTGTTTCAATATTCTTGGAGGGTCTACGGTGCGTTTACAAGGAAGACGCGACACAATTTGGAGCTGTCTGAGTACTTTTACCACTCCCCCCTTCCCCCTTAAAGGGGTACTCCGCCGATTTCTTCATGGTCCCCGATTTGCTTGAAATTTTGCTAAACTCGCCGAAATAGCATCGCCAAAATAGCATCCCAAATATTAGGTCAAAATAATTTTTTTTCACGAAGTTATTGAATTTACAATTTTGGTCCTCACCGTGTTTTTCAAACTGAAAGTCTCTACTGGCAACAATGAAAAAGTGACGTCATTGGAAGTGCAGGGGTTCACTTTTTGGACTGCAGAATTTGTTTCCAGCTGATTCAAAGCAGTTTCATGGTGTCAAATGAATGCTTTGGAAGCTCGCTCCAGTCCCCGCGCTCCAGCACGGAACAAATGATTGGCATATTCTATTTTTTAGACTGCTCGCCCGACTGGCAAGCTAACCTTCCACTGACGTCACGGCCCTGAAAAGGGCGGGTATATTTGAATGTTTGTTTTTGCATCATTTTCATTTGCCGATTTCGCAATAACTATTATGAATTTCACGATACTAAATAGCATACCAGAAAGGGCAAAGGCCGGGGAGTCGGAAAATATATTTAGTTGAGGTAGCTCAAGTATCGGCGGAGTACCCCTTTAAAACATGCCAGACCACGGAAGTTTCGCTTTCCATTCGAGTAGCGGGAATGGCAAGTGCCCCGCGCTCAGCAGAGTAGAGAAAGGGCCGCAGCGTCAAGAAAAAAAAAACAGAAGGGTACACGATTTTTACTTATAAGCAGAGGGTCGAACCGGAGCCATACCGAATCGAAAACCGGAACCGAACCGTTATTTTTAGCCGTACCTAAACCGAACCGAACCGTAATTTTCGCCACCTTCTTAAAACTGAACGAGAACTGAACCGTAAAAAAAAAAAAAATAAATAACGGCCCCCGGTTTAAAACGGCTCACGGTATTTTCTCTCTTTTTTATTACAAAAGGAGTGTTCGAGAAGTAAAAATTAACGGTTCTCTTTCTATGTAGTAATCAATTTGTCCTATACCGAATCGCAATGTATGAAGAATTGTGGGTTTCCCTGAAGCTTTTGTGTCGGGACTAAATTTAATCGTGTGTCGCGTCGTCATGTGACGTCATGGTGTCAAGACATACCTTCAAAAATTGTCACATCAGGTGGTCCTTTGACATTGTCGCGTGGCTCATTGCGTCAATTCGACTTAAATTCAGAACGTTACTAGATGTATTAGCGTTGTTGACACCGTGACGTCACATGCAATCACGATTCCTCACCGCGAGTCACGTGACACCGTGACGTACTCGATTGTGATGAGCCCGAGTCGAGTGCTCGGGCTCTTGACATTCAGCATCCATACAGTAATATACAAAATACAAAGACCGGACGCTTCCATAGGCTTCAGCGGCCCACTCGGCTCTCAGCAAGCGCTCCCAGCGGCCAGTAGAGTTCACAGTTAAATAGATGGAGACATGCAATAACCACCGGCTAGACGAATGGATGGTGAATAATGGCGGCACTTTTTTGATTGGGCGGTAGCCGGCGCCCTCTGGTCAACAGTAACTTACTAATTTTATTGTTGATAGTACCCGTTGTAATTTTGACGAATTGTTTTATACGTGCACGCAAATTTGGCGAAAATCCTGCTTTTTATAACATGCTACTAAAACTTACCACTCACACAGCGGAAAAACATCTGGACATATGCGCTAAATGTACACAAGGAACAACACAATGATGTAATCCGCAATTTTTAGAGCGCAGCTCTTAGGCGCCCGCTTCCGGCTTGAGCGGCGTCGGCGTCGCCGTCGCCGTCGGCGTAACCAAGGTCACCCCAAGGTCACGTGACCCCCAGGACACGTGACCCCCAAGGCCACGTGACCCCTCTCAAGATCACCCCAAGGTCACGTGACCCCCCGGTCACGTGACCCCCAAGGTCTCGTGACCCCCGAGATCACGTGGCCCCCAGGTCACGTAGCCCCCTCCCCGAAGTCACGTGACCTCCCCCCCCCCCCGAGGTCACGTGACCCCCTCC